AGACTGAGAAAGCCAGCCAGCCGGAGCCAGCGACAGCCAGCCCAGCCAGGGCGACAGAGAGCTGCCCTCGCCTTACCAAAGTGAAGGGGGTGTTGAGGAGCGTGATCATGATGTCCGCGACGGCCAGGTTGACAATGAAGAGGCTGGTGGCCGAGTGCATTCTCTGGTTCTTGAAGATGACATGACAGACCAGGACGTTCCCAAAGAGCGAGAAGACGATGATGAAGGAGTAAGCCACGATGAGCAGGGCTTTCACCGTGGGGTTCTGGGACTCGGCCCCGTACCGCCTCCTGCCCACAAAGTTCTGCCAGTCCGAGAAGGTGTAGTTGTTCCAGGAGAAGAAGTGCGAGGCGTTGGGCGCGGCCAGCGCCGCCTCCAGGCTCTGGTTGTCCCCGCCGCTCTCGGGGCGCTCCGTGGCTTGCACCGAGTGCCGGAGGCAGAACAGCAAGAAGTGAGGGAGCATGTTGCAGGGGCCGCTCCTCCCTGGGACTCTGCAGTCCTGATCTCGCCGCAGGGCCCGGTGGGCAGCCGGGTGCGAGGAGAAGGGGGCACCGGGCTGTCCCGGGGAAGGGGATCCTTCTGGACTGAGGGGAGTGCAGCTTACAGCCCCCAGTGCCCAGCCAGACACCCGCTCGCCCACTGCCACCAGCCCTTGATTGGCACACTCGGGTTTTGTTTCAGCACTTTTATATCTCTGCTTTCACCAGGCTGCTAAAGAGCGCCTCTGCCTATTGGGCAGTGAGCGTCTCTCCCGGAGACAGTGACGCGCTCTGGCTCTGACAAGCCTCATCCCCCGCCCTGCCTGGATGGCGCGGCTGCTTCCCCGCCCCTAGCTAGCCCCGCTCCCACTCTAGAAATAAAACTCCTGTAGGACTGCAAGGGCTGTTTCTAGAAAGCACGCACGTTCACTTGGTTGCTGCTTAAACCTCTTTGTTACTGTAAAGGGAGCAGGTGGACAGGCCCATGGGGGTGAGTTGGGATTATGCGGGGTTCATACTGCAGACTGGTGTGCCTGCTCCAGGCAGCTCCTGTTCAGCTGCACTGATAAATTCTACTTGTTTCTATCTGAGCTTTAGCACTGGCACAATTTCAATATTGAGGTGGATCACTGAGTCCTGGTGGTTCGGGGAACAAGACAAACCACGAAATAAAGAAGATAGGGTTTCTCCACTCTCGAGTGTATAGATTTCAGAAGTGCTGGAGGGCTCGTTTCCTGCCATTTGTTAAAGGCTTACAATTTCTCTGACAGCCCCAGGAACACAATGTGAGGGGCTTTGTTTTTCAAGGAAACTGTTTAAAAAGCAGTTCTGACAGGATCAAAGAATAAAAGGAGATTAGGAATTTAGCTATCTGTACACTTCTTGTTTTATCAGTGATTTTTCTGCCACTGAAGTTGTTGAAGCTGTTTATCTGTAAGGGATAGTACCACCACCAAGGCTGTTTTTTGTTCTCTGCTTACTTCTGGAAATTCTGCCATCTCTCAGACCTGTTTTCACTCCCACTGATAAGTCTCTCCCACTAACCTCTCTCCTGTCACCCTCCCCCTTAACCCTGTGGTTAAGGTTCTGGAATCAGGGTTAAATACCAGCTTTATCACTTCCTGGCTGTGAAATCTTGGGCACGTTATTTAACTTTTCTGATCTGGTTAAAAGCTTTCCATTTCCTATATGAGGGGTTTTCAGAAATCTCTGTCTGGATTTCCCACTACATTTCTCTGGTGCAAGACATGCAGTCTTTGGCAGATTACTTGAAACTACCTCTCAGCCTGTGTTCTACTGGTAAACCCCAAATAGATTATTTCTATAGAGTTTTTTCACCCTGTTAAGCAGTGCCCTTGGACGAGGACCTGAACAAATGACTCAAGCCCAAGTACCTTCTGAGTACCTTTCTGAGTACATGGAAAGCCTACACATTTGTCTCACCAAAACCCTGGAAGAACAGGCTCCTTCCCCTTCCCCCCACCAAAGTCCTTTCTTCTCACCAGGCCACTCTCACCTTGAATATTTTCAGAAAAGTTAGAATCAGCTTCTGTACCCCTTGAACTCCAGGGACACAGGTTAAGCTCTCCTGTTACCCAAATAAACAAGCAATTAGAAAAATGGTTTGATAAGTGTCACCA